CTCTTACTATTTTGAGAATTTAGAAACATAACCTTTCAGTGTTCTTACCTGTGTCCTTCCTGATGGATGCCTGAGCCTTTTTTTCTTCTGTTATCCTAGTGATTTAGTTCATATTAAGAGAGAGAAAAAGCCACAACTAGCACTAAAGCAGTTAGAAACTTCAGTCATTTAAATATTCTTGAACAATTCTGCAGCAGAAAGTTAATGCTATTTATGACATCAAGTGTACATAGAGAAAATTAAATGAGCAAATTTAAAACCAGAAGACTCTTCTCTGTCAGTTGAGTAAGACACTATTACCCTTCATGTCCTTTCCTGGGCCATTCTTCAGTGTTTTTTGTGGGAAATTAACTGCTGTATTACATATCTAAATAAATCACCTTCCTTCTATATTGATATTATGTAGTCCACTTTTTTAAATCTAAAACACTAGGATGAGGGGTCAGTGAATGATAAATAAAACATATTAAGAAATAATAATCAAATGATAACAAACAATTCTGGTAAATGAGGTAAAGAATTTTCCCTACAGATTCTCAAACACTGTCTTCATGGTCTCAATGAAAACATAAAGAAGCAAAAGTTTCCTCCTTGACCTGTAAGTGGAATTTAAAGAGGTTTCCCTGAGAGGTCATGAACCTTAGAATTGGATCTCAGCTCCCCTCAGGGTATGGAAATTTCCCATCATTACAGTTTTCCAAGACACAGTTATTTATGGTTTGACTTGCTCAAGTGTTTGTAAAAATTTTATGACCCCAATCAGTTAGCTTGGTTTTTTTTGTTTTTGTTTTTTTGGCTTCTCCTGGGCTGCTTCTATGTGTAGATGCTTTCAATTCCCTTCATGCTCAGAAAGAGAAAACTGTATAAATTAGGACAAAACCTAGTCCCTTTGCAGAGTGGGATGAAATGTGTGTTTATTTGCTAAATGCAAAGGATGACTTCTGGGATAAGGCCCAGCATCAGTCCAGAAAGCATGTACTGTGTGGGGTCTAGAGCAGCATTCATGCTTACTGAAGAGTAACAATTTTATGTGTGAATGTTTTTCATGCAAAAATCTATACGTTAATCCAAATTCCGCTTTTCTTCTCTCAGTACTTGATCTTGATACGCCATAATTTTAAAATTAATTAAAAGTACAATTTTCAGGTCTTAAAGAAATCTTTCTCTTTTAATTTTTTTTTTTTTTTAAGAGCAAGATTGACTGTTTACTCTGATGGACTGTAGCATTGCAATTGAAGCTGGAGGGAAAACCGGGGCTTAGCTCATGAGGTCCCTGCAGAGAGTTTATACCAATGATGTGCCCCTCTATACACTCTTGTATTCTACCTATTTTTAATGCTTAGTCACACTCCCCAGAAAGAAGCACTGTTGAAGTGAGTCATCAGAAAGGTAAATATTTGTAACTGCTTAGACTTCATTTGCACATGGTATTAAGGGACAAGTGCTATTATATTTTAAATGAAATTTTAGATGCTTTTCCTGACATGGAATAGCCATCTGACACAGACCAACCACACTGCTAGAGGGGATATTTTAAAATTATTACTCAACAGCAGGACTCCAGCAATTAATCCTGGAATCCTGGTTCCTACTTCAAAGTACATATAGCATCTTTTACTTTATTCCAAGTCCTGATTTACTTAATCTTTTATTATTTGCTTCAGCTAGAGGAAGTGAGTGGGATAAGAAATAATATTGTGATAATGGGATGGGGCAGATAATCTAACAGTTATGTTATAGAAATAGGGTAAATTCAGAAAACCCTTACAAATCAGAAAAGAGAGAAGGACATGAGGGGATGATGTAGAGGGGAGTTAGTGACAATATGCTCTTCCAGAATTTATCCAGTAGTCCTTGCTTCCTGACAGATTAAAATTCCATCCTGAAAATTAATTAAGTAAATTATAGCATTTATATTAAATCTACAAACATAGAGGACTCAAGTCTGGACCATTTCTTCTGTTCTTTAGGATTCTTCATTCATGGGAATATAGCAAAAAAATTTACAAGCTAAAGCCTTGTAGTATGTTCTCAGTTCAGTTCAGTTCAGTTGCTCAGTCATGTCTGACTCTTTGCGACCCCATGAACCTCAGCATGCCAGTCCTCCCTGTCCATCTCCAACTCCCAGAGTTTACCCAAACTCATATCCATTGAGTTGGTGATGCCATCCAACCATCTCATCCTCTATCATCCCCTTCTCCTCTAGCCCTCAATCTTTCCCAGCATCAGGATCTTTTCCAATGAGTCAGCTCTTCACATCAGGTAGCCAAAATATTGGAGTTTCAGCTTCAACATCAGTCTTTCCAATGAACACTCAGGACTGATTTCCCTTAGGATGGACTCATTGGATTTCCTTGCAGTCCAAGGAACTCACAAGAGTCTTCTCCAACACCACAGTTCAAAAGCATCAATTCTTTTGCACTCAGCTTTCTTTATAGTCCAACTTTCATATCCATACATGACCACTGGAAAAACCATAGCCTTGACTAGATAGACCTTTGTGGACAAAGTAATGTCTCTGATTTTTCACATGCTGTCTAGGTTGGTCATAACTTTCCTTCCAAGGAGTAAGCATCTTTTAATTTCATGATTGCAGTCACCATAGTGATTTTGGAGCCCAGAAAAATGAAGTCAGCCATTGTTTCCACTGTTTCCCCATCTATCTGCCATGAAGTGATGGGAGTGGATGCCATGATTTTAGTTTTCTGAATGTCGAGCTTTAAGCCAACTTTTTTCACTCTCCTCTTTCACTTTCATCAAGAGTCTCTTTAGTTCTTCTTCACTTTCTGCCATAAGGGTGGTGTCATCTGCATATCTGAGGTTATTTATATTTGTCCCGGCAATCTTAATTCCAGCTTGTTCTTCATCCAGCCCAGCGTTTCTCATGATGTATTCTGCATGTAAGTTAAACAAGCGGGGTGACAATATAGAGACTTGACATACTCCTTTCCCTATTTGGAACCAGTCTGTTGTTCCATGNCCTGACCTGCATACAGGTTTCTCTAGAGGCAGGTCAGGTGGTCTGGTATTCCCATCTCTTTCAGAATTTTCCACAGTTTATTGTGATCCACACAATAAAAGGCTTTGGCATAGTCAATAAAGCAGAAATATATGTTTTTCTGGAACTCTCTTGCTTTTTTTGATGATCCAGCAGATGTTGGCAATTTGATCTCTGGTTCCTGGGCCTTTTCTAAAACCAGCTTGAACATCTGGAAGTTCATTACTCAGCCATTAGAAAGAATACATTTGAATCAGTTCTAATGAGGTAGATGAAACTGGAGCCTATTATACAGAGTGAAATAAGCCAGAAAGAAAAACACCAATACAGTATAATAATGCATATATATGGAATTTAGAAAGATGGTAACGATAACCCTGTATGCGAGACAGCAAAAGAGACACAGATGTATAGAACAGTCTTTTGGACTCTGTGGGAGAGGGTGAAGGTGGGATGATTTGGGAGAATGGCATTGAAACATGTATATTGTCATATGTGAAACAAATCACCAGTCCAGGTTCAATGCATGATACAGGGTGCTCAGGGCTGGTGCACTGGGATGACCCAGAGGGATGGGATGGGGAGAGAGGTGGGAGGGGGGTTCAGGATGGGGAACACATGTACACCCGTGGCGGATTCAGGTCAATGTATGGCAAAACCACTACAATATTGTAATTAGCCTCCAATTAAAATAAATTAATTTATATTTAAAAATAAATAAATAGCATACAGCTTCCAGCATAGAGGAAGCACTCAACAAATGTTTAGAGAATGACTAGGCCCAGAACACCTGGCCTTATAATTCATTCTGTACCCAAGAGTCCTAAGCCAAGCCTTTAAAAGGCAGCCTGAGCTGCGAACCTTGATCACTCATTCCACACCCTCAGCAGAATTCCTCCTGTGGCTGCTCCTGACAGTTTCAAAGCCTGGTCTCTTTGATTTTCCAGCAATCAATCACCTCTTCCATTTTCAGCTTCTGCTCTTCAGGCGAGCTGTTGCTAGCGTAGCCCTTGACTACCCTTTCCCACCACACTGGCCATTCTCTGCCTTGAATTTCCCAGCACAAACTCGGGGCCCCTGCATTCCAGTATCTGCTCTGATGGGTCACTTCTCTTCCCGTCTACCTGAACTCAATCATCACCACCTCACAATGAATCAGCACCCTCAAACTCTCTCCTGTCCCACTCCCGCAGCCGAGTGGAAAATTCAGCAAACTGATGAAGGTTCAGAGCCTGCATCTTATGAAGAGAAAGCTCTTCAGTTTGGGCTCCCTTAGTTTTGTTACCATTGACTGGAAATGTGGGTGGGGATTAATTCCATACTTTAAAAAATAAACTTCTGTATGTAATCAGTACTATAAGAAGCACAGACCTATACAAGAATATGGCTGCAAAGGCTAATTTTCTCCTAGGCCCTGCACGCCAGAAACCAACACCCAGAGGAGGTTCCTACTGACAAAGGGAAGATGTTTAAGTTTGTATTAATGATCTAAAGGAATCACACTAACTAAATGTGAGGGGGAAATCCTGAATCTCTAGTAACATCAACATCTCCATTTTATCGCCCCTACTATCCTGCTCCTGGCCTACCGGCCGCTGTCCTGCAGAGACTGCAGGTCCGGCTGAAGCTGCTGATGCGGCGCGGCCAACTCCCCACACTGCCTGCCCCAAGGCCCACGAGCCGAGCCAGAGGCGCCCGGCCGGGCCTCGGATTGGAGGGGCGGACCGTCAGGGCGGGGCCGCAATGGAGGCGTGTTCTTCGGCTGGAGGAGAGGACCGGCCAGAGGCGCGGCTAGGGGTGGGGTTGACCTGCACCCGCCGGGGCTCACAGGTTGGAGGCGGAGACGAGACCGGATGCGCGGACGCGGCCGCTACGGGGGTGGAGGCGTGGTCTCAGGGCGAGAAGCCGACTGGAGCGGTGGCCATTGGCTCTAGACCGCGTCACGCGGGGAGGGAGGGGGCACGCGTCGTGACCCTGCGAGTGGACTTTGCCAGGCCTGCCACCCCCGGCCGGATCCTAACCAGGCCCGAGCGCAGCCTGCAGCCGGGACCCTGGCGGCCTCTTCTGGCCCTGCACGCCAGAAACCAATACCCAGAGGAGGTGCGTTTCTCAGGCAAGGGTTAGGCGGCCGGACTGAGGAAGATCCTCGGTCTTCCTAGTCTTCAGCCACCGAAGGAGGGTCTTGGTGCTCCAATCAGAGAATGAATTACGCTCGGTTCATCACCGCCACGAGCGCGGCCAGAAAGCCTTCTACCATCCGAGTCATGAGTGAGTCCGAGCTGCGCCCCTCTCCCATGGGCTGGAAGTGGGGGTGGGGGTCCCCGCAAAGCGGCTCCAGCCTGGGTGAACCTGGCTCTGCGCAGACTGGCACAGAAATCGGGCTGGAAGTGGCACGAGGGCAGTGAATCTGCAACAGAGAGAGGCCAGGCCGCGGTCCTGGTTAGAGACCAGGGGGCTCTCCTGGGCGCAGGGGTCAGGGTTCAGCACAGCCTGCAGGCGCGCAGAGTGGGAGGGCGGGGACACAGGACAGTAGGGGGTGTGGGAGCCTGGTGGGCAGGGAGGGGCCGAGTGGAGGAGGGTTTTCTGTTACTGTGGCCTCTGCTTTGTCCGGGCACGTGGCACGTGTTGATTCCTCAGTTCCTCCACTATTGAGGTCAGTCCAGACAAAGTCATCTTCTATGTTTCTTTCAGACTAGCATTATATCACTAGACATGGTTACACTGTAAAGTTTTATTGACTTTAATGAAACATGCTAAACCATCTCTGTTTATGAAAGTCTTCACTGAAAGTGTTTCTTCTTCTTTTCCATATTTATTGTAGCTGAAATATTGAGCAACGCACCGAAATCTGTCATCTCCTTGGCAACTGGGGCACCAAACCCCAACATGTTCCCTTTCAAGACTGCGGTTATCACCATAGAAAATGGAAAACCCATCCAATTTAATGAACAGATGATGAAGAGAGCACTGCAGTATTCTCAGAGTGCTGGGTACTGATCAGTAGTTCAGCTGCTAACTGGTGTGGACTCTGTGACCCCATGGACCGTAGCACACCTGGCTTCCCTGTCCTTCACTATCTCCCAGAGTTTATTCAAACTCATGTCCACTGTGTCGGTGATGCTATCCAACCACCTTATGCTCTGCCACCCCCTTCTCCTCCTCCCCTCAATCTGATCAGTAGATAATTTAACTTAGTTGCTTCATTTTCATGAGCAATATTCTACAGCCAGCAGATGAAGCATCTTGTGTCTTTTTAAACTGGATGTTCAGCATTTAGGAAGGTTTGGGGAAGAGGTTTCAAAGAGTCGTTAAGAGCAGCAATGTTTCTGACCGCTTAAGATCCCCAGTGACTGATTCTGAACCTTCTATGACTAGGAGAGGGAGAAGTTTTTGAAAGTAGGTACCATTTGTGCTCAGATTGGAAAAAAAAGAGAGAGAGAGAGAGAGAGAAAATAGATAGGTAAAGAAACCAGGATAGGAGAAAAGAGGAGTGGATGACACAGGAAGCAGACATTTTAGGTCCTGAGAAAAAGTTTTAATGATTATGTTTCCATGCTAACCAGGCAGCTATGGAAATGTGTTGCCTGCAGTTCAGATGTATTTAATTTCATAAAGGCAAATGGAACAAATATTCTAAAGCTTTCCTTAGCTGGTCTTCTTCCACTGATGAAGAGTAAACTTACAGACTGTCTATTAATTATATTTTATTAGTCCATTGCTTTGTGATGGAAGAATAATGCATGTTAGGTACATAACTGTATATAATGTATACCGAGAACACGCCTGCCAATGCAGGAGACATAAGAGATATGGGTTTGATCCTGGGGTTGGGAAGATCCCCTACAGAAAAAAATGACAACCCACTCCAGTATTCTTACAAGCATAATCCCATGGACAGAGAAGCCTGGAAAGCTACAGTTCATGGTGTTGGAAAGAGTAGGAAATGACTAAGCAACTAACACATACAGGCTTTTCTTTCCATGATGCAAAGAACTTAGTGACCCTGAACTTCAGGTATCCTACAAAATCTCTCTAAGAAAAACAAAAAGGCAATACCATAGTGAATGCTCTAACGGAAAAGAAAAACTATAGGTTTTGGAATAAGAAAGCTTTAGATTCAAGTCTCAACTCATTTAACCACCAGCTGATTAATTTATGTGAATTTCTTACTCTGTAAGCTTCTTGCCTTGTATTTTAAGTAAAGATAGTAATATTAGCGAAAGGCATTCAAAGATTTTTAAACTGAATATATAAAGTGCCTGATATGACCATTTAGTTGCTGTCTACTACTATTATGATTTTCACTACTGTCAATTTTTAAATGCATTTTATGCTTTAGAATCCCAGAGCTGTTATCCTGGCTAAAACAGTTACAAGTAAAATTACATAATCCGCCCACCATCCATTATGCACCCAGCCAAGGACAGATGGACATATGTGTCACATGTGGCAGCCAACAAGGTCTCTGTAAGGTAAGAGTGGAGGGGAAGGGCACCCATGGAAAGAATGTAACATGTGCACCCATATTGCCATTTCTCCCTTAACCACAGAGCAGCATGTTTTGTGGGTTAGGAAATCTTCAACAGAATAATAAAGGGAACCTGAAGACATTCACCAACATGATTCCTCTTAAACAGAGAGCCCAGAGTGCTGAGTCCTTAGGATAAGCTTCCCTGCAGCTTAGTGAGCACGGATCAGTATCATGTGGCTCAGAGATGCAGGCTAATTTGTTAGGCTGTGGTTATGTCCGTATGACTTTTAAACTCTTCAAGGGTGTGTCCTGACCCTCCTGAGATGAGGCCTCATCCCTTTGCGTGTCTGCTGCTGTCATCGTCTGTACCAGTGGCCTCCTGCGCCCCATTTCCCTCCAGATCTGAGGATCTCCAGATCTGAAGATGCGTCTGTGGCTGTGGCTGACTTCTCCCCTGGGCTGGTGGCCTCTCTGTCTCTCTTTCATTCTTTCTGTCTCTCTCTCCGCCTCTCTCCTGGTAGTCCACTGAGGTCTCCAACACTGGGTGTGCCCTCATTAAAGAGACTGTGTTCTCAGTCTCATATCTTTTTCTTTTCTTTTTCTTGAATAATTAGTCCTGGATAAGGAGTTTCTGTATTAGTCTGCACATCTAGCTTAAAGTATGACTCTTGTTTATATCAAACCAGAGTGGTTTTCTTGTTCCTCTTATGTAAATGTGAAACCTATAATCTGGTTACTTTTAATGAATTTTAATTAAATTATTATTACAGAATAATGTATTTAAGTAATAACACTTTAAAACTTCCTCCCTGTTTTATGACTTAATTAGGACAAAGACATGGATAAGCTGCTGTTTGAGGTTTTTTTTTTTTCTTGAAGAGAAATATTTGTGATGCCCCAGACCAGTAGGAAAAAAGTTCTTTTCAGTGAAACACCTTTCCTAGAAAGGTATACCATGAGCCTTTATTTTTCTCCCACAAAAGATGCTCTGGAAAGTTTCTTCTTTGTCTGTCTCAACATTAATCATATCAAAGAGGAAGACAGCACACATGGCCAAAAACATTAGTAACTCACTGGCTTATAGCCATGCAGTTACAGAGGCCTCCTGGGAATATGGTTTAACATTTCTTCCACTTTGCTCTCCAGAATAAATATTATTTTAGGTGTACAAATATCAAATAATAAACAGCACTCACTCCTCATTTAGAATTCTGGACTTTGTCATGTCCCCTTACCAGCACAGGAAATGTTGGTCATGAGCTTTTCATCTGATCCATGGCCTATACATGGATTTGCTTGGTCGTAGGAGGGCCTGTTAAATGTAAATCAACTAACTTGTCAGAGGAAACTGTGTTTGTCATAAAATGCCTAAAGCTCATAAGAAATAGTAAATGGAATATCCTAGGCCAAATCAGGAAAGAAAAGTCAGATCTTCTGTCTCAATGGATACTGGCCATGATGTTTGTCAAGAGCTCTGAGAGGCTTGACCTGGGGATGATGAAACATCCCAGGGTAGGAAAGGATGGTTCTGTGCCTTGGGTAAGATTAGTTGGAAAGGACCCCTCTGATTCAGGCAGGAACATCTCTGTCTGGCTCTACTGATGTCCTGAGGCATCACACTGTCCTCAAGATCCGCTCTGATTTGCAGGCCTGGTCTCCCTTGACCTCCGAGTCTCCCAAGCCTTGCTGAAACCATCCTTTCTGGAACACTCCCCCGTCCTTGCCCTGCCCGCCCTGCAGTGTCCATGGTTCACAGGAGCCCCACAAGACTGGGCCTCGGGCCTCTTCCCCTTCCCGCACACACCGCCCCTGGGCATCACACCAGGGGATCAGGCCCACGCCTCCATCGCCAGGCGCCCTCTACACCCACGTGTCCACCGCCCCCACTGGCCTCATCCCAGGCTGCTTCAATAGCACCTCACACCAAAACACTCACCTGCTTCTCCCTCAGAAACAGACAACATTTGGGGTGTTTTCCAGTGAATGACACCCCTCCCATCACCTCCTTACTGTACAGCCAGGAATCCAGAGGTCCCTCCTTACCCCCTCCTTCTCCACTTCCCCTCAGCCCACAGTCACATCCCTTGCTTCTGGTTTCCTAAATGCCCCTCAGTTCTCTTCAGCTCTACCACCCCATCCAGACCACCCTTGCCTTTCCCTGGGACTGCAGCAAAAACCTCCCAAATGAGCCTAAAATCTTCCCAGACTCCACCTGGATTCTCATTTTTCTTTCATACTTTGATTTTGCAGCCAGAATGACCTTCTCTTACACTTGTCTGATCTCATGACTCCTAGGTCCCGCCCTCTACTTAAAACTCTCCCTGGCTCACTTGTCCAAAGGCCTCCATGGGATGCTGTCCCTCCACTTTCTTCTGACCTCCCTCCACTCTCCTCTTCACACTCCACCTCAAGCCACAGGATTCTTTCAGTTTCTCAAATGTCTACCTATCGTCACCTTTCCCCAACTCTTCACTTCCTCATGGAAGCCTTCCCTGAATACCCCAAGTCTGCTGAGTGATGAGCACTTAGAACACTGGCATCACACAGTAGTGCTTATTGCTGATTCTACATGTATATTTATCTGAGTAGTGTCTAGTTCAGCATACTAGCACCTTCATGAGGGTAAAACCATCCATATAATCTTCACTTTCTCTCCATATGTTACACAGGCCTGGCTTATAACACAGACAAACTTTTTGCAAAGAAAGCATAAATGTGTTTAGGATCCAAATCAGTTCTGTTATTTTTCAGTGTAGAAGAGAGGTTGGCAAACTATGGCTTGAGAGCCAAAGAGAATCATCCCATGTCTGATCCTGTAAGTAGAACGTTACTGGAACTCAGCCACACCATCGGCTTGCATGTTGTCTATGGCTGCGCTCTCACCACAGAGGCAGAGATGAGTAGGGGCAACACACACCCCAGGCCCACAGAACACGTCCCGTCTGGCATTTATGGAAAACTTGCCAACTCCTACTCTGGGACCCTGGTCAGCTCAAAAAAGAGTTGTGGGGGTTTCTACAACTGGAAATCATAGTCTCCAAGCTAACCTGTGCTTCTTTTGTCAGGTGTTTGAAATGATCGTTAATCCTGGAGATAATATCCTCGTAAATGAACCTATTTATTCAGGAACAATTCATGCTGTGAGTACTTCTTACAAAAGGCAACTCCTTTTTATAGTAAATAAAGAGAAAGCACTGCTCCTTTAGAGTTATCTGCCCACTGAAAAATACAGTAGCATCTTTCTTTGTGAAGAAGAGAAGTTTCAATAGAAGCAAAATATGCTAACCGTAACTTCTGATATATACATTTCTTTTTACAAAGTCTAAGTGTACAGGTGCTAAAATTCAGTTGTGCAAAATCCTGTCCAGTGTTCTTAATATTTCACTTGAAATGCCTCTTAATTTAAAAAGACATTTTTCATTACTGTCTATATTACCACATGTCTAAGACAAATCATATGTCAATGTAATATAACTAAACCTATCAGTGTGACCAGGACTTTCACATCTAGTGTTTATTATAAGACTCTAGACCCAGAATGAAGAAGCGGATCACCTGCTCTGCTGGGTCCTGGTCAGAACTCAGCACTCTCTGGGGCACAATACTTTGGGGTTGATGTGAACATAGTCTGGAGCACAGTCAGAGAGAAGCAACTGGAGTAACAAAAATTTAGAAATAAGACCATACGTTCAATGCTCTTTTCCATAGAAAGAGGAGATCCATGGGGACATGAGGATTGTCCTCAATTACATTAAAGTTAGCCATGTCACAGAGGAGTTAGATTTGTCTGTGTATGTCCTTAGGTTGACAGAACTGGAACCAAAAGGTGGAAACTACAGGGAAGGAATTTCAACTCAATTTCAAAATAAATTTCAACTAATTAACCATCAGCTTTACCCACTCTCTGAGGAAAAAAGCAAACCCATCCCTGCAGGTGCTCAAAGAATGCAGCCAACACAAAAGAACAAATATTGTGTGATGCCCCTTATACAAAATATATAAAACCAGCAAACTCATAGAGACCAGAAGCTGATTAGAGGTGACCAAGCACTGGGGAGGGGGTGGGGAGTTGTTGCTTAGGGGGTACAGGTTTCTGTTTGGAGTGATGAAATGATTCTGGAATGGACAGTGTCATGAGACGCACACATCGCGAACACAGTTATTGCCACTGAATCACACTTTAGAATGGCACAGTTTTTACCACAACTTTAAAAACTAAAATAAAATAATTCCCTTTTCTTCATGATTGGAGACTAATTATTAATTACGTTCCTAAACTATACATATAAAACTTGCATCTATGTAAATAGCTGGATGCACACACACTGTCACATGCCCAAACAGAGATCTGTGCCAGGCTCTAAGGAAAGAGGCTGAAGTTCTGTGTGCAAGACTTCTATAAAACTACGTTCATGACAAGGCCACTACTTTCGACTTCAGCCTCTGCAATCAGTACAATATAGATATACTTGCACACCCCTTGGGGAGCCATGGCCCTGATGCTCCTTGGTGACCCAGCACCACACTGACCCCCCGATCCCTCTCCTGAGACCACCATGAACCCCATACAGTGCAGAGCTATGCTGGCATGGCAGGGGGTCTCCAGGACCCCACTCCACCCTGCTCTGTGTCTGTTGCTCCCACGCTACACCGCTTGTCCAATATTTTGAGTATCACCTCTGCTTATAACTTTTTATATATTAGCATCATAGGTGCTTTCTAAGATTGATTTCCTTTCTCAAAATCATTCCTTAATAAACACCTATTTTATGAGCCAGTTCTAATCATAATCATGAAGATAATGCAGTGTGGGCATAGAGCTGAGGGCAGGTTTGTGTCTAAGGGTGTAAATGGTAACACTCTCCTTAGTGTAAGAACCCTCGGCCCTGATATTTTGTAATCAGGTCTCAATCGCGGACTTGCTTTTCTCTGTGTGTTGACAGCTGCAACCCCTGGGCTGCAACATGATTAATGTCTCCAGTGATGAGCACGGGATCATTCCAGACTCCCTCAGAGAAACACTTTCCAAATGGGAACCGGAAGATTCAAAGGACCCCGAGAAAAACACCCCCAAATTTCTTTACACTGTCCCAAATGGCAACAACCCTGCTGGGAACTCGTTAACAGCTGAGCGCAAAAGGGAAATCTATGAGGTATTTTCAAAGAAGGTGTTACATACTTGTGTTCTTGTTTCCTTCTGACTCTTTAGAAGAGTGCTCCCAAATTCCTTCTCTGGTTAGGCTCTTCCCCTCAAGGAAGATGATTTTTAATAAAAAGAAGCCATCTATTCCAGGCTCGCCACAAATTTAAACACAAGAAATTACTACAGTCTGGTTGACTGATATGTTTCTTTCCCTTTGATTGATATTTCCATTGAAAGAGATGCTCTTCTTGGTGCGGTGTTACACTCACCTCTTACTCCCTTTTTTTCTGTCTTCACCTCCTCTCCCACCTCAAGTCCATCCCGTGGCCCCCACTACCCAAACCCATCATCTCCTCAGCCACCCTCCCCGCTGATCCTGGGACTCCTTTGCAGGGCTGCTCCCCCCACACAGAGCCCGTCCCCCAGCGCCGGCCCCACCACCAGTCACTGAATCCTTCCTACTCATGTGTGGAGCACCAGGCCCAACTCCAGCCGCTTCCCACCACACACGGAAAATAAAGATAAAAGTCCTTCACTTCCACACACTGATGGGACCTGGGCCTCTGCTCCTAAACCTGGGGGCTCTCACATCCTTCCCTCTGTCCCTTAAACACACCAAGGATTTTCTGACTCCAGGGCCACTGCTCCCTGCTCTCTCAGTCTAAACATCTTCTCCCCCAGCATCTGCACAACTGATCGTTCCGGTCAGCCTGAGCTCCCCTGGAGCTTCCCCGTCTCTCTCTCTCAAGCATCAGCCTCTTCAACCTCTCAACCATCAACCATCAACCATCTGCCCTCAGGACATCCCACCTAATCCTCCTCTGGTCACGATCTAGGACCTCAGGTTCTGTCTTTACCACCAGAATGAAAGTTCTGTGAGGACAGAGCCTTTAGGGCTGGTTCCTCCTCCTAGGACAGCGGGGACTCAGAAGTTGCTGGGATGAATGAATGAATGATTGAATGAGTACAAAGAACTATGACTGATTTCAAGTAATTTTCATCTTAGACAGCTCTTAACTTTAACCTTACTCTAACTTTATCTAACGTGTTTTAGCTCGCAAGAAAATATGACTTCCTCATCATAGAAGATGATCCTTACTATTTCATGCAGTTCAACAAGGTAAGTGACAGCGTCAACTCAGCCCACAATTAGAAGATAAGGTGTTGTTAATGCACGTGATTGCATTTTGGCCTGGCTGCTGAATATTTTCATCTGTGGTGTTAACTGCTTATTCCAGAAATTCCCTACTTTTAGAATAATGGCTGGCCATCTGTGCCAGACACGTGAAGGAACATGTGAGTCAAGGTGAAGGTCGTCTTGACTCCATAAACATGGTACCAGGGATGTGGAGTGGGTGTCTCCTGGGGTGTCAGCCTCAGTCTCTCAGGGGTGGCTGATGGGCTGGAGGACTTGGGAGCTGTGTTAATCATGTCTGCCTGCCACCCACCCTAAACACAACCATGGCCCCCTTCCCTGTGGGCATTTACTCTGAAATAAATGTGGAAGGTTCACCATTGCACACTGACTACCTGGCTCATCTTCGTTTGCACATTCTTTGTGTTTCTAGTTGTTCTAAGGGTCAGCATTCTCTCTCTGAGGAGCCCTGCATGCTGACAGCACTCCTCATTGTGGTCTTTTCCAAACTAATTTTCCTGGAATCCTTTCTGGAAATCCGTTCATCCTGGATCTCAAGCCTTGGGACAAGGAAGTCCTATATGAAGTTCCCACTCTGCACAAAGTAGGGATACAGACTCTAACAGATATAAATACTGTATTTATCTTCCATTTCAAGCCCTGGGCACCGACGTTTCTCTCCATGGACGTGGATGGGCGTGTTATCCGAGCTGACTCTTTTTCCAAAGTCCTGTCCTCAGGGTAAGGCCCTGGCTCTGCCTTCAAGCTGCAGATAAAGGTGACAGGGGCTGCCCCTCAGCATCTTTTAGTATAAAAACTGATTCTCGTTTAAGGTGCTTGTATTCCACTCACCTTAACACATCTGTTTGAATATTACTAACATATTTTCTCCCAATCCATCCCCACTGGTCAAAGATCCTTGACCATTAAGATATACCTGTAAGGGGACTGGTCAGATTTGGGTGCATGTACAGAAGAATTTAAAAATATCTCATCAGATATCCATTATATTTTAAGTGTACAATTAAGTTTAAATGTGTACTTTAAATAAGAAGTAGTTTTACTAGAAGGTGTTAAATTTCATGAAATCAGTAACATGGTATTAACTGATAATGCATGATTGGTAATGTGCCTTTTCATTTTGAGCAGGTTGAGAATAGGGTTTATAACTGGTCCAAAACCCTTGATTGAGAGAATTGTTTTACACATACAAGTTTCAACAATGCACCCCAGCACTTTTGCTCAGGTAATGACAGTTTATGAAATATGAATTTTTTGAATCAGATCATAAAAGAAAAGGATGTTGGCAAATAAGACAGAGTAAAGTGTCACCAACAGAGATATCACTGACTGCATCTGTAGCTCCACATGGACTAGCTAGACAGCACATATTTGCTCTAAAAGGCAAAAGAGTTTTGAATGGACCTGATGCTGTTTCAAGTGTAGACCAAGCCCCTTGAGAGTCAGATGTTATTCATCTTGTGTCCTGGCATCTAGCCCAGGAACCTCATAAAAACAGTGTTAAACTCAACAGGATGGAAGGGGTTTGGTGAAGTAACACACAGTTCGCTCCACTGTCCTGAAGTCTAAGAACAAGGGTTCCAAACCTGCCAGTGGCCAGGTGTCTGCCTTCACTGCCCATGTGCTAACCTCCCTACAGACACCGGCTGGAATGTATTTTAATTAAAAGACAGTAAAATTATTTTTGGAGATTGTATAAATTTCTTCACAAGCTTTGAGAAATTATTGAACCCATTCCTAAGGAACCTTGAAAATCAAACCTTGAGGACAGAACCGCTACCTATGAAGGCCAAAAAAGTAGTTTATGTAGAATGGACATTTGTTTGATATTATATATTCCACAAAGTGCAGATGCCCTGTGTTTTATCACCTTGGAGACTTTTTCCATATTTTCCGTATCTGTTATCAATCAAATTTCACTATCCATTTACAACATTTAGAACATCTATTCTGGATAAAAAAATCTCTGGAAATACTGTATAAATATTGTATAACTTCATGCATCAACTGTATGCATTTTATACTTAGAGAGGCCATCCAGGGCAGCATTTATTGGGGGCATCTGGGACTAGACAGTCTGACTTGAGTCCAGGCTCTGTGATGAGCTGCCTAATAAGGGTATTACAAAGACCAACTAATCTGAAATGTTAATATATTCACATGGTACAGCAGTTTCTGACACACTGTGAGAACCTTATAAATATTTGTTATTTTTAATATTGTGCAATATTATTGTTGTCACTGTTGTTAATCAACACTGTTATAAGTTACTGACTTTAAAAAGCTTGGTGCATCTTCTTGGTGTGGTTTGCACATAATCAAGAGTGATTTGCTTTCATTTTTGGCAAAAACACATTTAGAGCATGAACCTTGTTTCTGTCTCATGCTTTTTAGCTCCTGGTCTCACAGCTTCTATACCAATGGGGAGAAGAGGGCTTCCTGGCTCACATAGACAGGTACTGTACTTGAGGTTTCATACTTTACATAGAAATGGACTTCACTCTATTAATTTTCATTTTTTAATTATTCCAAAATAATGGAAAAACCACAAAGTAGAAAGTTTACCACTGGACAGGTCAAAGAAATATGGTCTATTCCCTCATCAAGAGTTCAACACCTTCATCAAGATACAAAATAGATTCTTATAGACTGGACCCTCAGAGCCTTTTGGATTCTGCAATCAGTATAGCAAACACATATTTTTCATTGTTTTCTTCCTCCAGGGTTATTGATTTCTACAGGAAGCAGAGGGATGCATTAGTGGCAGCAGCAGACAAGTGGTTAAGTGGTAAGTGGAATGCACATCCTATCCTGGAATGAGCAGCAGTCCTTATATGAGTGAGTGATACCACAGAGTACTGTTAATAATCCTGGGGAAGGAAACAGGGTCCAGGAGGATTCTTGGCAAGAAAATGTTACCCTATGAATAATCTTAGTAGTAACAGCACAAAGAAATAAAGGAAAACAATAGAATGGCAAAGACTAGAGATCTCTTCAAGAAAATTAGAGATACCAAGGGAACATTTCATGCAAAGATGGGCACAATAAAGGACAGAAATGATAAGAACCTAACAGAAACAGAAGAAATTGAGAAGAGGTGGCAGGAGTACACAGAAGAACTGTACAAAAAAGGTCTTAATGACCTGGATAACCACTATGGTGTGGTCACTAACCTAGAGCCAGACATCCTGGAGTGTGAAGTCAAGTGGGCCTTAGGAAGCATCACTATGAACAAAACTAGTGGAGGTGATGGAATTCCAGGCAAGCTATTTCAAATCCTAAAAGATGATGCTGTGAAAGTACTGCACTCAATATGCCAGCAAATTGGGAAAACTCAGCAGTGGCCACAGGACTGGAAAAGGTCAGTTTTTGTTCCAATTCCAAAGAAAGGCAATCCCAAAGAATGCTCAAACTACCGCACAATTTTGCTCCTTTCACATGATAGCAAGGTAATGCTCAAAATCCTTCAAGCTAGGCTTCAACAGTATGTGAACCAAGAACTTCCAGATGTTCAAGCTGAATTTAGAAAAGGCAGAGGAACCAGATATCAAATTGCCAACATCCATTGGATCACAGAAAAAGCAAGGGAATTGAAGAAAAACATCTACTTCTGCTTCATTGGCTATGCTAAAGTCTTTGATTGTGTGGATCACAAAAAACTGTGGAAAATTCTTAAAGAGAGTTGGGAATACCAGACCACCTTACCTGCCTCCTGATAAACCTATAGGCATGTCAAGAAGCAACAGAACCAGACATGGAACAATGGACCATTTCAAAACCAGAAAAGGAGTATGTCAAGGCTGTATATTGTCACCATGCTTATTTAATTTCTATGAAGAGTACATCACATGAAATGCCAGGTTGGATGAAGCACAAGCTGGAATCAAGACTGCTGGGAGTAATATCAATAACCTCAGATATGCAGATGATGCCACCTTAAAGGAAGAAAGTAAAGAACTAAATCGCCTCTTCATGAAGGTGAAAGAGGAGACTGGAAAAGCTGGCTTAAAACTCAGCATTCAGAAAACTAAGATCATGGCATCTGGTCCCATCACTTCATGACAAATAGACGGGAAAAGAATGAAAACAGTGACAGACTTTATTTTCTTGGGTTACAAAATCACTGTGGATGGTAACTGCAGCCACAAAATTAAAAGATGCTTGCTCTTTGGAAGAAAAGTTATGACAAACTTAGACAGCATATTAAAAAACAGACTTCACTTTGCTGAGCAAGGTCCATTTAGTCAAAGCTATGGTTTTTTCAGTAGTCATATATGGATGTGAGTGTTGGGCCATAAAGAAATCTGAGCATTGAAGAACTGACGCTTTTGAACTGTGGTATTGTAGAAGACTGTTGAGAGTCTCTTGCACTATCCAACCAGTCCATCCTAAAGGAAATCAGTCCTGAATATTCACTGGATGGATTGATGCTGAAGCTGAAGCTCCAATACTTTGGCCACCTGATACGAAGAACTGACTCAATGGAAAAGACCCTGATGGTGGGAAGGATTGAAGGCAGGAGGAGAAGGGGACGACAGAGGATGAGATGGTTGGATGGCATCATCCACTCAGTGGACACAAGTCTGAGCAAATTCTGAAAGACAGTGAAGGACAGAAAAGTCTGGCTTGCTGCAGTCCATGGGGTCACAGAGTCAGACACGACTGAGCGACTGAACAGCAGCACAGATGCTGACACAGCTCTACATGTTTCTGTTACAAAGTCTAAACCTAACTTCAGTGGAGGACCTGTGCTTTAAAAAAAATATCAATTAGGCTAACAGTCAACCAGCAATAGCCTACTTAAAGCCAACATCTGTACTGAAAGGTTTTCAAAATTTTGCTCCAAACAGAAGAGGAATTGTGACACGAGCAGTATATTCCTTTTCTAACCTGACTCCATAAAGACAAAATGGTACTATAGTACAAACTAAATGCAATCTAAGGTGGATTTCATTACAGGTGATTTGCCTGGTAATTATTAACTTCATTTATCTAATATTTCTATCACTAATCTGATTTCAGAATGGTTTAGATTTAATTGTCTATTAACGAAGAAAGTAAAATGAATTGCATGACTTTAATTATACCACTGAAAATGCCTTTGGCAAGAGTAATAGTAAATACAAAGTATCAATTCCTTGTTTCCATCACATCTGCTTCCCTATGAAGTCTTATTTTTTTGATAAGATCTTATCTTTTTGATAAGATCTTTTTGTATCACTTCTATCATTTTGAAAAACAGGTTTTAATCCTCATCCATGTTTTTTTTCCCCCCCTAAAGACTAATGACTAAAATCCAAGTAACTCTTGTTCGTTCTTGGTTTCTCTATGCTTATATTCAATGAAACAAAGCCTACAAATATACCTGGAATTCTTGAATTTTAAGTACTTCTTAATTGTGCATGCATGCTGAGTTGCTAAGTCATGTTCAACTCTTTGGTACCCCATGGACTATGTCCACGGGATTTCCCAGGCAAGAATACTGGCATGGGTTGCTATTACCTTCTCCAAGGGATCTTCCCAACCCAAGAAATCGAATCTGCATCTCCTGCATTGGCAGGTGGATTCTTTATCACTGACCTACCTGGGAAGCCCATACTTCTTAATTACTAGTACATTCTGATTTAAAATAATATCAATAATCTCAGATATGCAAATGACACCACCCTTATGGCAGAAAGTGAAGAGGAACTAAAAAGCCTCTTGATGAAAGTGAAAGAGGAGAGTGAAAAAATTGGCTTAAAGCTCAACATTCAGAAAACTAAGATCATGGCATCTGGTCCCATCACTTCATGGGAAATAGATGGGGAAACAGTGGAAACAGTGGCAGACTTTATTTTTTGGGGCTCCAAAATCACTGCAGATGGTGATTGTAGGCATGAAATTAAAAGACGGTTACTCCTTGGAAGGAAAGTTATGACCAACCTAGATAGCATATTAAAAAGCAGAGATGTTACTTTGCCAACAAAGGTCCGTCTAGTCAAGGCTATTGTGTTTCCAGTGGTCACATATGGATGTGAGAGTTGGACTGTGAAGGAAGCTGAGCACCGAAGAATTGATGGTTTTGAACTGTGGTGTTGGAGAAGACTCTTGAGAGTCCCTTGGACTGCAAGGAAATCCAACCAGTCTATCCTAAAGCAGATCAGTCCTGGGTGTTCATTGGAAAGACTGATGCTGAAGTTCAAACTCCAATACTTTGGCCGCCTCATGCGAAGAGTTGCCTCATTGGAAAAGACCCTGATGCTGGGAGGGACTGGGGACAGGAGAAGAAGGGGACAACAGAGGATGAGATGGCTGGATGGAATCACCGACTCAGTGGACATGTGTTTGAGTAGATTCCGGGAGTTTGTGATGGACAGGGAGACCTGGCGTGCTGCAATTAATGGGGTCACAAAGAGTCGGACATGACTGAGTGACTGAACTGAAACTGAACTGATTTAAAAAAAAAAAACTTCATTAGACTTCTGAACAACTACATAAATGATATGATTTATTGAAACACTAGAAGACTCTAGAAAGAGTTGAGGAATCCTCTCCTAAAATTGAAAGAGTGTCTTACGGGCAGCTCTAAGGAAGGGAGGTGGGCATGACGCTGGAGTTCCTGAATGGCCCTGAGACCCACTAAAATCCTAAATATACATGAGTCCCCCCTCACTCCCTTTCAAACGTTCCCCTTACTAAAACTGTAACGCTCATTTTCAAGACTCATAAAACTATGTTAAAAAAAAAAATGCCACCCCCTAGGGAACTTTTTTGGAAATGCTAGTTTACAGTTACTGCAGTACATCATTTAAACAATACAGTTGACATCATAAACAATGACCTTAAGAAATATTTCTTCTCTTCTCTTCATAGGTTTGGCAGAATGGCATGTTCCTACTGCAGGAATGTTTCTGTGGGTTAAAATTAAGGGCATTCATGATGTAAGAAAATTGATTGAAGAAAAAGCCTTTAAGAAAGAGGTAAAATGGGGGGTGGGGGGGGAAGCTATACTTTTTCCTTAAGGTGATATCTTAACAAAAACAGCGAGAGATGTTTATTGTTGCCCACCAACTCAAGGATGATTTTGCCTACCAGTTACAATATCTTATTATTCGGATCATAATAGATTAGGGGGCTGTTTTTTTAATATTGACTTATTTACTTGGCTGTACCAATCTTTGTTCCAGCATAAAAACTTCACTGTGGCATGTGCAATCTAGTTCCCTAACCAGAGCCTCTGCATTGGGAGTGCAAAGTCTGAGCCATGGGACCACCAGGGAAGTCCTGAGATCACGATAAATTTGGGGTTACAGAATTAGTCTCCTGGCCTAAACTAGGGGAAACACAGTCATTCAGCTCAGCTACTGGTTAGCTTAGTGGCTAAGAGCACAGTCTCTGGAGCCACAGTCCTTAGGAGTGAACCCCAGCTCCAGCCCTGCCCTGATATGTGGTGCTGGGTGAGGTGTTCTTACCAAGTCTCATCTGGAAAATGTAGATAAAAGGAATCTCTCCCTCTTAGGGCTGCTATAATGATGACAGGCGTCAACATGGAAAAACACTTAGACTAATGCTTGGAACATTGTAAATGCTAAGTATTGGCCATTATAATATTTAAAGTAGAAAGATTTTTTTCCTGACTATGAAAGTAGCATCATACTTCATTAAAGCATAATGAAAAAATTTTAAATAGCCCATAGATTTACCACCCAGATTTTATTACCATTTGTTGATATATTTTCTTGAAGAGTTTGTATATACCTAGTATTTTGCCTGTGAAATTATTTTTTAAAGTATAGTTGATTTACAATGTTACATTAGTCTCGTGTATACCATACTGATTCAAAATTTTTGAAGGTTAGACTTCATTTAAAGTTATAAAATATTGGCTATATTCCCTATGCTGTATAATATATCCCTGTATCTTACTTATTTTATACACAGTAGTTTGTACATCTTATTCCTCTATTTCTATATTGCCCCTCCCTGCTCTCTCTTCCCACTGGTAACCACAAGTTTGTTCTCTATAGGTATGGGTCTGTTTCTTTCTGTTGTATTTATTTTTTAGATTCTGCATCTAAGTGACAACATGGTATTTCTCTTCTTCTGAATTATTTCACTAGGCATAATACCTTCCAAGTCCATTCATGTTGTCACAAATGGCAGGACTTCATTTTCCTCTGACTGAGTTCCAATGTATATGTGTACCACATCTTCTTTATTCATTCATGTTTGATGAACACTTAGGTTGTTCCTTTATCTTGTGTATTGTAAATAATATTGGGGTGTGTTTATCTATTCAAATTAGTGCTTTCTATTTTTCCAGATATATGATTGGATTGGAATTGCTGGATCATATGGTAGCTCTATTTTTAATTTTTTTGAGGAACCTCAATATTGTTTTCCATAGTGACTGCACCAATTTACTTTTCCACCAACAGTACATGAGGGTTCCCTTCTCTCCACATCCTTGCCAACACTTGTTATTTGTGTTCTTTTTGTTTATAGCCATTCTGAGAGGTGTGAGGTGATATCTCACTGTGGTTTTACTTTGCATTTCTCTGATAATTAGTGATGTTGAACATCCTTTCATGCATTTGTGGATGATCTGCATTTTTAATCAATTTTGTAATATGGCTATGCAATTGTTTTAAATGATTAAAATTACACAGAAAAGTTTACATCCTGCTTTTTTTATTTAAAATTATCCTGCAAAGGTTGCTTCTGGGTTTTTCTCTCCTTTTATACTTAAATCATGAGTATACTTAGATTTCATTCAGGGACATTGATTATACTGAGAAATCTAAACTTGTTTGTCTGGCTTTCCAATTTACCAATTATCCTTTCTCTATTGATTGATTCCTTTACTGTGTTTGTCACTCTTTTCTAAACACCCAGATCTGTTTCTAGTATACCTTTTTTCTTGAAGCAGTGAGTACAAAAGAACAGACTGTTGATATTGGCCAACTCTCATGCTAGAGCATAAGAGACGAGGCAGTCTAGAGGCCAGAGCTGGGAACTGGCTGATTGGACCTGAGACCAAATCCACTCCCCTGGGAAAGTCACTCACCTTCTCTAACTGTTGTACTTGAGCACAGGACTCATGCTTTATGAATTTTTTAATGCTAATGACAGCACATAGTAAATGCTTAATAAATACTTACATGACTCAAAGAAGTGCATTTTAGTATAATAAGTCAATTTTATAACATTTTGTTTGCTTTCTTATCAATGCCATAATCATCCGGAACATTTGATGAATGGCTATTTGTGTGTATCCCTGAGCTAGGAGCTAAAGATACAGACTTCATATTTTATTATAGTTTTTTCAGTCCCCTTCATTTATTCCATATTCCCTGTTGCATGTACCTTTAACTTTTCTACATAATCACCAACTTTATCACCACTCTATTAGTCTAGACTTTGACCATCTTGGAAGGAAATTACTACCATTTCTTCCTTCTCTACAGAAATTTGCTTCTGGCACATTCCAAGAGTCCCACAATATTGAGAGAAATGATGGTTTTCATTCTAGATGCTTCCCAGGTGTACTAGTGGTAAACAACCCGCAGGAGGCGCGGGTGTGATCCCTGGGTCGGGAAGGTCCCCTGGAGGAGGGCATGACAATCCATTCTAGTATTCTTGCCTGGAGAATCCCATGGACAGAGGAGCTTGGTGGGCTACTGTCCATAGTGTCACACAGAGTCAGACACAACTGAAGCAAGTTAGCACGTTAATCAAGACACAAAACTCATCTTCTGCCTTGAAATCTTCTCCCCAGAATGCCCCAGATCATTTCATTCCTACCTCATCTAACTTCAGCAGAGAGGTCCCAAGTTACACCATGTAACAAGCAGTTACTTGAAACTTTGAATGTCATGATTGTACTGGACAACCATCTCAAAGATTTTATTTCTGACTCAGGAACAATTTTGAAAGACATGGTTTGCAGGCTCCTCTGCTCCTGCCATGAGTCAGAGACCCAGGTTCGTGGCCACCTTCTTGCTCTTCATTTTTCAACACACAGATCCATGATGCCTGCACACTGCAGAGGGCACGGAGGGTCACACAGGGAGATGTTCAGGGGCCAGGCTGAGAAGGAGCACCAAGGCGTCCCCTCTCCTGGCTGGGATGCAAGCACTCAGCCACAGGCATCTAGAGGGAGGCTGGGAACAGTGTTTTCATGGCCAGGAAGCAGTGGACATGTGCTTTAGGGCAGTGAGCTGCCAGCCACAGAGATCACCAAGCCGAGCAGGTGTCCCACCATCTGGACACAATCAGTTGACATTTTTACTCCATCGCTCTGTGTAGTAAGTGTTACCATCCCTTTGAGTGATCAATTCTCTTTCCACTCGGGGCCTCCACGCTCTGTATCTTCTCCCTGAAGGACTCTTCCCTTACTTTTTGCTTGACCAACACCTACTTATCTCTCAAGTCCCAGCTTAAAGGTCACCTCCAAATTTGATACCTTAAAAAGAGGTTTGGATTTATTTCACTTTTCTTGTTACATTAAATATTTATATACTTTTCCAGTTTCTATGCTTTTAGTTTTGTTTATTGTATGACATGCAGAATTTTTATATAAATTGATTTTTCTCTTGTGATTTCTTTAATTGCTTTTAAACTTAAAAAGTCTTCCCCTACTCAGGTTAGATTTTCCTCTATTTTTATTGTCCCTTTAATGGAATATCACCTATTTTCCGTAAACTCTGTCAGGTATTCATGCTTCCGGGATGTGGTTTCTACATTGATAGTTCAGCTCCTTGCCCCTACTTCAGAGCATCCTTCTCTTCAGCTTCTCCAGAACAGATGGACTTGGTGAGTACCATATTCTCTTTAGAGAAACACTAGATATCAATTTATTTTTTGTGTTCATTTGTGAGTTACAACATTATTTGTTGTCTTCCTTGTTTTCTGAAAAGTGAGAATAATTGGAAAGTCATAAGCTGCCATTCAAAGAAATTGCCAAACTTCTTTAGAAAAATGATGAGAGCAAGTTGCAGTTGAATTTTTATTGTCTTCATGAAGTTTTGAGACCTACTCAACATTGTTTGCAGATTATCAACATGTTACAAAGAGAAACTCTTTCACTCCTTCATGGAATTAACATGAGCCAAAAGTATAAATTCATTAACTCATCACTGTATCTCTGAAGGAAAAATTCAGCAAAGGCCAAATAAAATAATATTAATGATTAGAGTTAATTAATTGATTAATCACAAAATCTATCTTCAACCAAGATAACAGGAAGTAAGTTCCTAGGCACTGACTGGTGTGTCGGGAACTCATAGACAGGCCATAAACTGAGATCCAGTAACTGTGAGAAGAGCATATACATATCCTGGGAGATGGGTGTCTCTGGGTGTGTTCTTGATTTACTTGCTTTCTCACATCATTAAGTATGCTTTTCGTAAGTTATATATGAATAGAATTGGACAACTGAAACTATATAGAAGGCATATGCAAGTGAGGGAGTATATGCAAAAACCAATTTGTGTTATGACAGAAAAAGATGATCTTGAGGGAATAAGAATTTTAAAAAATTCCTGGGACTCTGATATGCTTCCATGTTCATATGTTAGTGAACATGATGGCATCTGACTCAGATAAAGCTGAGGTTAAGCCTGACCTTATATCTCAACCTAAAGATGGACTCTCTTTTTTTGAATTTTTAAAGTTATGACAGACTTTTCCTAAATGGCATCCTAATTTTCTTAATTCTTCTCTCTGTTCTATTTTAGGCCTTTCAGAGATTGGCCCAACTTATAAAAGAATCTTTATGAAGAAATCAAACTCTTCATAGCACTCATGGATTTCAGATGCTATGCATTTATCTGTATTTCAGCAAGAAGAAACAATCATTGGTGCTAGATTTACAGATAGGGTTTCACTAAATATGTCATGCCTGTAGTAATTTAACTACACAACCTTCAAAGTGCCCTTGAACCCATCAGACCTCCAAAATATATTTATAATTCATCCATATCTTTTGATAAATATTCAACCCACACAATTAATTTTATCCTGGATTTTATTGTAAAGAACTCTGTATTCACTTTATAATTTCCCATAAATCTTCTTTGAAACTGACATTTTATAGTAAATTATTTATAAGCCATTAAGTTAAAAATGGCATATAATGTGAACTTTATCTCTTTTTAAGGAAATGTTACAAAAGCTTCCACCTGGTGCAGTAGTAAAGAATCTGCCCACCAATTCAGGAGACTCAGGTTCAATCCCTGGGTTGGGAAGATCCCCTGGAGTAGGAAACCCACTCCAGTATTCTTACTGGGAAATCCCATGGACCGAGGAGCCTTTCGGGTTAGAGTCCCCCACACAAAGAGGTCACAAAGAGTCTGACATGACTGAGCACTCACTTACTCAGTGAAAGCTTACTGCAAATGTTGTTAGAATTTGACCATTATGCATAATTTTCAGTAAGAGTATCACAGACATTATATAATATAAAAATCTCTATAACATGAAATTCCAAAACTAAACATTCCTAAAGATGTTCCTATTAATTCTGAGGAGGAGAGATTGAGGACTTTGAAAAATGTACTACATTGTATTTTATGATTCTACACAACTTCAAAAACACATTCTTACCAGTTATGTGATTTCAAGCTACTACATACCTTTGAGGTACTCAGAATATACTTTTTAATGATTTTCTTTCTCATCTTTTATGATCTTTATTTTCCCATCTGATTATTAAAAATATGCTCATGTAATTTTTCAGATAATCCAGGAAATGTAAAGAATAAAGTGAAAGCCACTGCCTCTCTCACCACACCATTTATCATCCACCCTTTCAAGATGTTTCTGTGCATGTACATGTAACATATAAAAAAAATAGGATGTCATTAGGACAGTATCATAAAACACCCTGCATCCGTTTTCTGTCGCTATAGAACAATTTACCAGCATTCCAATTTAGTCATTGTAAAATTATCATGTCCTTTAAGGAATTAGGAAGTATAGATTACTGTCATTCCCAAGATCCTTGTGTACATAAATACCTCCATCACAGTTATTATTTTTCCACCATATGAATGAGTTGGAATGTTTGGTCCTGGTGGTAATTGCTATAGCTATTTCAAGCTGACTTAAAATGAACAACTGTCAGGAAGCACAGAGAGTCACAGGCAGAATAAATCCGGGGGGAACATGAAGATATACATACTAATCAAATTGACAAAAATTAAAGACAAAGGAAAAATATTAAAAGCTAAAAAAGAAAAAGGAAAAAATAACATACAATGTAATTCCCATAGGATTATCAGCTGATTTCTCAGCAGAAACACTGGCCAAGAGGGAGTGACATGATAGCTTTAAAGTGAAGAAAGGGAAGAAACTGAATACCCAGCGAGGCTTCATGCAGATTTGACAGAAAAATCAAAAGCTTTACAGATAAACAAAAGCTAAGAGAACGCAGCACCACCACACCAGCTTTACAACAAATGCCAAAGGAACTTCTCTAGGTGGAAAAGAAAAGGCCACAACTAGAAAGAAGAAAATTATGCATGGACAAGCTCACTGGTAAAGGCACACATGGTAAACAGGAAAGCAACCACACCTAAATATGTCAAAAGCATCAGTCACGAGGAAAGCACAATGCAGGGTATTGCAAATGCACTTGAAATTAAAAGACCAGCAACTTAAAATAATTGTGTTTATATATAGTTGCTGTATCAAAACCTCCTCGTCACCACAAACTGAAAATCTACAATAGACACAAACATAAAAAAGAAAAAAGGATCCATACACAACACTAAAGTTAGCTATCAAATTATAAGAGAGGAAAACAAAAGAGGAAGGAAAAAAAAGACTCATAAAAACAAACAATTAACAAAGTGGTAATAAGGACATACCTTTGGATAATTACTTTAAATGTAAATGAATTAAATGCTTTAAATGAAAGACACTGGCTGGCTCAATGGATAGAAACACAAGACGCTGTCTACACAAGCACCACTTCAGATCTAGGGACACATACAAACTGAAAATGAGGAGTTCAAAAAAGGTATTCCATGTAAATGGAAAACAAAAGAAAGCTAGAGTGGCAATACCCAGACAAAATAGGCTTTAAAATAAAGACTGTTACAAGAGGCAGAGGAGGACACTGTATAATGATCAAGGGATCAATCCAAGATGAAGTTATACATGTATAAATATATATGCAACCAACACAGGTGCACCTGAATATATAATATGCAAATAGAAACAGTCATAGAAAGGGAACAGTTGTCACTCAGCACGGTTTCCTTCAAATTTAAATTTAAATATTGACTTGTCCACTTTAGGATTCCCTTCCCCCGTGTAAGAAAGTCTTTAGTGCTTCCCTATAGATCAATGAAACTAAAAGCTGGTTCTTTGAAATAAGTAAAATGGATAAACCACTAGTCATAAAGTAAAAAAAAAAAAAAAAAGGAAGAGGATTCAAATCAATAAAATTAGAAATGAAAGGAGAGAAGCTACAACTGACACTACAGAAATAAAAGAGACCATAAAAGACTACTGTGAGTAACTATACACCAATAAAATGGAAAGCCAGAAGAAATGGACAATTCTTAGGAAGGTACCAAGACTGAATGAGGACGAAATAGAAAATATGAACAGACCAATTATCAATACTGAAATTGAATCAGAAAATTTAAAACTCCAAACAACCAAAAGCCCAGGACCAAATGGTTTCACAGGTGAATTCTACCAAGCATTTAAAGAAGAGTTAACAATCATCCTTCTAAAACTATTTCCAAAAAATTGCAGAGAAAGGAACAGTTCCAAACTCATCTATGAGGCCACTGTCACCCTAATAACAAAACCAGACAAAGATATCACAAAAAAAAGAAAATTACAGGCCAATATCACTGATGAACACAGATACAAAAATACTCAACAGAATACTAGCAAATCAACTCCAACAATACAATATAAAGATCACACACCATGATCAAAGAGAATTATCACAGGGGTGCTAGAATTTTTCATTATTTGGAAATCAATCAATGTGATGCATTATATTAACAAACTGAAAAATAAAAACCATATTATCATCTCAATAGATGCAGAAAAGGCTTTTGATAAAATTCAACATCCATTTATGATAAAAACTCCTCAGAAAGTGGGCATAAAGGGACCATATCTCAATATAATAAGGCCATATATGACAAACCAATAGCTAATCTCATAGTTAACAGTGAAAAGCTGAAAGCATTTCCATTAAGTTCAGAAACAAGAAGAGAATGCCCCCTCAACATTTTTATTCTACATAGATTTGGAACTCCTAGCCATGCAATCACACAGGAAAAATAAAAGGAATCCAAGTTGGAAAAGAAGAAAGTAAAACTATCACGGTTTGCATATGACATGCTGCTATAATGTAGAAAATCCTAAAGACTTTACCAGGAAACTATTAGAGTTCATTAATAAATCCTGTAGATTTTCAAGATACAAAATTAACCTACAGAAATCTGTTGCATTTCTATGCACAAACAAGGAAATATCAAAAGAAAAATTAAGGAAACACTCTCATTTACTACAGTATCAAAATGAATAGACTACTTAGGATTAAACCTACCTAAGGAGGCAAAGACTTACACTCCAAAAACTTAGATAATGATAAAAGATTTAGAAGATGACACAAGCAGGTGTAAAGATACACTGTGTTCTTGGATTGAAAGCATCAGAATTGTTCAAATGATGATACTATTCAAGCCAATCTACAGATTCCAATGCAATAACATTCAAATTACCAAAGACATTTTTCACAGAACTTGAAAAAATAAATTTAAAATATGTGTGGAGGGCTTCCCTGGTGTTCTGTGAGTGGTTAAGAATCTGCCTGCCGATGCAGGGGACACAGGTTTGATGCTTGGCGGGAATATCACACTTGCTGAAGGGCAACCAAGCACTCTGGCCACACTCCTGAAGCCCATGTGCCAGGAGCCCGGGCTCTGCACCAAGAGAAGCCACCACAATGAGAAGCCCGCACACCGCAGTGACGCAGGGCCGCTGCTTGCTGCAGTGAGAGAACGCCCTCACACAGCAGCCAAGACCCAGCACAGCCAAAAGTAAACAAATAAGTAATGTTTTTAATGTATGGAAACACAGAAGACCCCCAAATACCCAACGCAATCTTGAGAAAGAAGAATGGGGCCGGAGGAATCATGCTCCCTGACTACTGATATAAGGGAGTCATCAGAACACTACAGAACTGGCACAAAAATAGAAGCACAGATCAATGGAACAGGACAGAATGCCGAGAAATAAACCCACAAATGTATGGCCAAGTGATCTGTGACAAAAGAGGCAAGAATATGCAATGGAGAAGAAACAGTCTCTTCAACAGGTGGTACTAGGAAAAGTGGACAGCTACATGTTAAAGAATGAAATTAATTAGAACATTCTCTAATACCATAAACAAAAATAAATTGGAAATAGCTTATAGATCTAAATGTAAGAATAGATACTATGAAACTTCTAAAGGAAATCTTAGGGAGAATATTCTTTGACATAAATGGCAGCAATATCTTTTTGGATCAATCCTAGACTAATGAAAATAAAAAGAAAAACAAGAAATGGGACCTAATTAAAAGCTTTTACAGAGCAAAGGAAATCATAAAAATGAGAAAAGACCATTTAGGGAATATGAGACAATATTTGCGAAAGATGCTACTGACAAAGAATTAATTTCCAAAATATACGAAGAACTATTACAGCTTAACATGAAAAAAACAACCCAATCAAAAAAATGGTCAAGAGACCTAAATAGACACTTCTGCAAAGAAGACATACATGACCAACAGGCACATGAAAAGATGTTCAACATGACTATTTATTACAGAAATGAAAATAATCCAAATTTCAATGAAGTACCATGTCACATTGGTCAGAATGGTCATCATTAAAAAGTCTACAAAATAAAATTTTCCAGACAGTGTGGAGAAAAAGGAACCCTCCTACACTACTGGTGGGAATGTAAGCTGGTGTAGCCATGTGGAAAATTCGATGTAGCTTATTTTTAAAACTAAAAGTGGAGTTGCCATATGATCCTGCAATTCCACTCCTGGGTATATATATATATA